TATTATGGGCATATAACTGGGCGATTGCATGGTAATTATCGTGTTGTGCAAAGGTTTAAAATAGATGCAGCAATCATTACAGGTTTGAAACACATGGGGCCATAGTTATACCGCATGTGGCAAGCATTCTAATGCAGTATGCTGGAGCCTGTCATAGTGGTCTTCTACCAGTCGATACAGTCCCTTAATTGAGAGTCATATTATGTGAATATCTGTAACGGACTGGCTATCACATTGTCCATATAGAAAGTGCAGTTGTGGCATCACGGTAGCAATTGTTTGTTTTTATTCCATATACCACAATGCAAACGTTTGATATATAAATATAACATCTATCTTGCATTAACATTCGTGTCTAACACCGTAATACGTGGTAATAACAGATTGAGAATTGGAATAGGATAGAACCATGTAGGGAGATTACTCTGATAGAACTAGACCTAGATACGAGTAATCATCTCACTAGAGTTACAATTTTACTAATGTGTATTATATTTATAATATAAAAATCATGAAGTTAAAAACTTGATTCTAGTACATATTAATTTAACTTTGCATGCACCCAAGTAACTTAACCATTTTTAAAGCCCTATATGTACAACTTTTGCGTACTGTTATAATACACAAATCACAGCCAGCTTTATAGTTTATTTCAAGAGAGTTTCCTACAATTCACAACTAGCTTATATGGTTTTTTTAATTTTTTTTTGGGGAATGAAATATTTTCATACAATGATAGCTAAACCTTTAGTTCCCCATTCCACACCAAAAAGCTCTATAAATATCAATCCGCCCAAATTGATATTTGGTATTATCAGGCGTTCCATCATAGTATCAATATACAGTTGACGAAAAGTGCGTTTAATTAACTACATATAGTAAATAAGATTATATTTCTTCGTAAACAATGAGACCGTTGTAGTTTTAGGACATGTTTATGCTATTGTTGCTGAAAGGTACTTCCCGAATCGCAGAACGTGTGATCCAAGAGGAAGAAAGTTGTTAATTGAATGAAAGTTAACACAAAATGAGGTAAAAAAGACGTAAAATTGCATTCATTAGAAGGTATCATTTATTTATATATTTTACCGATTACAATTGTCACTAATTGGGAATTGCAAATTAAGTGTCTCCTGACATCTGATTATAGATTGGAAATTAGTCCACGGATGAAGTTGAAACATTTTATTATTATGAATAATAATCCTTGAAATTTCTTCTTCGCAAGTAAAATATTGCCTTATATCATATCCAAAAATCTTTGGTAATAATTGTTTTATATTTTAATGCTAAAACAGTCTTCTTTAATTGTTTGCCTTTACTTGTATGCCAATGCTTTTAACGTCTCTATTAATACAGTGTTCAGAAATATTCAGATAATTTAGAACAGTTATTTTTTTAAAATTTATTTGTATTTTTTCAAAGTTGTTTCAAAATACTTCCTTGATGTAATGCTAAAAATCGTTCATTTTGTTAAATTAATGAGGGTTTTCATATGAAAGTTAAAATAAGTATACCATCTTTAACTTTTCTTGTGCGGATTGATATTGTGAAATTTTATCTAGAAGGGTCAGAATCATCACGAATAGAGATTTCACTGCACAACATCTGTAAAAAAAGATCGTACTGAATTTTAGTTTATCTATTGATATCGTATCTTGCTTACTTGGCTTTTGACTAGCTTGCTGTCAAGTTCTGTATCAGATGATACACGCAAATAAAAGTCGATATTTACTTAAGTTTCGTTTGCAATTAAAACGTCCTCATCCCGATTTCTTCATCATATTCAGGTATATTAATTAGAGTGATTTTAAATTAAAGTCAAGTGATCACATATGTAGACAATTAACAAATAATTGAAGTATCTATTCAAGAGGATTGTAAATGCACTGCCCTTTGCTGCAAGAGATGGTTATTATTAGTGTTGTCGTTGCTGTTGTTGTTACATATTTCTGTTCTTAATTTGCGGAAGGCCAAGTATATGACGAGAAAACCATATAGATATATAAATTAATAAAATAAAATGCTTAAAATCTTTCCGTTTTGTACAACATTCAGATATTAAAATAGTTTGGTCTTCCAGTCTGGCCATTCGTGAGGGTACGCTATCTGGCCGAAGAGATGAAGATATATTTAGTAAAGAGAAGCGAAAATTCTCAGAGCAAACATCAGATCTGTATGTACTAAACAAAGCACATACTATAATGTAAAATTGATGGCATAAAATTCTCAGAGAAAACATCAGATCTGTATGTACTAAACAAAGCACATACTATAATGTAAAATTGATGACATAAAGAGATTCGATACCAGTCTGATTAACCCTCTTATAAGTATCTTGCCGTCTTAACAACTCGTTTTCTCTCACATATATACTTGCGTACATGTTCGACAGTTCCAAGTAGTCTTATAAATACTGCGATTAAGTTGGAACTGATTAGTGCAGAAAATAAATACCTTTTTTACTTTCAGACTCAACTTTAATCCTTTAAACCATAATCAAGTGGAGACAGTGGGTATATTTTTCAACACAGCTAATGGATGTGAAGTTTAACTACACTCCAAGGAGAGGAGATATAGAGATCACGAGTATCTAGTGCATCAAGATTATCAGAATGCATTTATTTTATACATAGAACTATACCTGCCTTCATCAAGGTCACTTGAACGCATTTATTTTCAAGTGCAATAAGGTTTGTCTTACATCAAGATCTGTTGACTGCATATTTTTTTACCTTAATCTAAGTGTGACTTGCAATCAGCAGAGGATTTATATGGCAAGAAATGATCTCATGACAAATACATTTCTAATTGCACTGCAGCTCATTATTATGACATCAAAACACAAAAGGTGTCAAGTCATTAATATATATATATATATATATATATATATATATATATATATATATATATATATATATATATATATATATATATATATATATATAAAACAAATATTTTGTACTTTCAAAATATATTAGCTCCCATATATTCACCTACGAACTTACGATCGATTATAATAATAATTATATTGTCTTGCTAATATAGATTATGTGCATGTTCTTAAATACCTATACATGAATTTCTGTTCAAAATTAAAGAGTCTGAAGATGACCTAAAATTATTCTTTGAAACAAACATGTTAAATATCATAAAGGTTGAATAGAGATTTTAGAATCTAAGATTCATATTTTACTGACAGCAGAAAACAAGCATCGTATCAACAACAACATCAACAAAATGCACTTATTACTGCTAATTATGTATTTTTCAATTTGGATAGAATTCGTTGTCATTTTTCTTGAGCAACGCCCTTCGCGAGAAGTGGACTTCCATCATAGAGGAGACGAACTGGCCAAACACAGTACTCCATATACTTTCCAGACCTTGTGTAAAAACGAAACAGGTTCGTATCAAACTCATCCAGAGTGATTTTGTCTTCAATCCATTTCATACACAATGGAGGATCATGGAGGCACATCATCCACACTATCTCTACACTTAAAGTGGCATAAGTTGAAAGTTTCTTTCCCATTGTAAGGAAAGATGGTCCCAGTATTTTAGAAAGATTTTCACCAACGAAATTCTGACGAAGTAGAAAGTAAATTAATAACTGCTTCTAACCCACCAGTGGTGTCATGATGATGATGAAGATGACATACAGCAGCAGAGAGGGTGAACCCTACAACAATATATTTGCGACAAAATCGATTAAAGCCTCAGAATGCCAATGGAGCCTTCCTACGAAATCTCATATTTTAACCAAAAAAAAATTAAAGGTCCCATCTTAGCGATTTTGTCGTGAATACATTGTCATAACCACACTCAAATTGCTGCCATCTACGTCTACAAATTTTTGCGACAGAATCGATTAAAGCCTCAGAATGCCAATGGAACCTTCCTACGAAATCTCAATATTTCAACCAAAAAAAAAATAAAGACCCCATCTTAGCGATTTTGTCGCAAATACATTGTCATAACCACACTCAAATTGCTGCCATCTACGGTCGCAAATATGTTGTCATTTCCATCAGCTTTGGCTATATCATTATTATTACCCCGGGCGCAACTTACCCTTAGTACGCCTTTGTTTACGATGTATTATAGTTCAGGTCCTTGTCCCCAATGCCGTCTTAAGGATTGGGCACACTGGGTAGTTGCCCAAGGCCTCATGCTTCTAGGGCATCATGCTGCCCATATTTTTAATGAATAATAGGGCCGGTAGGGGCCCAGGTGCATTGCTTTGCCAGAGACCACAATATTGCATAGACTGCACTGCTTGTCCCTTGTGGAATATTTTATTACCCAGAGTCTTTGGTACCAGAAACTCATACTAACCTCTCTAAACCACCATGACATTTAAAGACATTTAATATTAAAAAATTTTAATTTCTATGTCTATGTTTTCTTTATATGTCTGTCTTTTTAAAATCCCATAATCTGTGATCAGCAATATATGTGTCGATCTGAATGAAGCTAGCGTACGTAGGCAGCTTTCTAGAATGGCTTATTATTGTGGACGCCGTAAGGGCCCCTGGTGATACGAGTGACCACCCTACCCACGGGGGATGGCATTTAGTGAAGTTTGCAGTATTTTTTCCAAGAGGTGGGGACACCGTTTCGGCGTTTACATCTACCAATACCCGTCATGTCATTCATCGTTCTTTTCATCCGTCCTTTTGTCAATCCAACAGTTAACTCAGCCATCTAGCTAGCTAACTAATAATTTGACCGACCAAGCAAGCAAACATACATGCATACATGCACGCATGTATTAGAACATAAGCAAATAAGTTGGAATGCAATATGAGTACTTGAACGATTATCAGAAAAAAAAAATCATGCCAATGATTAATTTTCTGTCAGTATCACAAGCTAGAAAGAAAGGAATATTCAATATATCTCAATTTTTTTGTTCTGAAGTTTTAACAACGGGCTTTATCTATATATACAAGGTTAATAGGCAGTCGATATAACATTTAAAGAGCGAAAGAGATACCGCTCCGGTGGCCTAGTGGTTAGAGCGTCAGCCTCGGATGCGGGAGGTCGCTGGTTCGATCCCTGGCTGAATTATAAGACTTATACAAATGGAATTATCAGCTGCCTCTCTTGACATTTAACATTAAGAGGTTAGTTTTAGGACTGGTCGACCTGGTTTCATGATAGTGTGACATGGTGGAACATCATGCTACATGTCTGCGGCATGATGCCCCAGTGCTAGACGTCATTATAAACTACCACACAGCAGACATCGTAACCTTATGACTGAAAAATTGTTAAAGCTAAGCTAAAATTCCAATCAGCTCGCACAAAAAGAGTGAAGAGTAACACAGTGTGGACCTCAGTCAGCTGTTCTGTTTACAAAACAGCTGATCACGTTAGGTAAACGTGACGTTACAATTTTCTAACACTCCCACGAAATATGTCAGATTGGGTCAGGGACGATACATTTGGTTCGCTTACTTAGCAAGAATAATAGTATCAGCAGAAGATATGTATTGCCAAAAAATCTTTTTATCTGATGTCCTTGAAGTTTTGTAGTGCACCATGTGTTGTTTCAAAAGACTGATAGCTTATTTTCCTATCTGCCAGAGTTATATGCCAGATTTACTTTCAGCCTACGATCAAATTTACAGTGGAAGATGCCCAAAGCTTTCCAACTGCTAGCAGCTGGGGTATATTTTGACAATGTATATCCGTACGTATGTGATATCGTTTAACACTTCTTAAACCGTTTTACAGAGAATCACCATCTACAGCAATATAATTTCATGCACATGTATTAGAAATATGACGCGGTTTTATATTAGAAATATGGCACCTTGTTATATTAGAAATCATTTAAGGTTTTGTATTAGAGATATGGCATAGTGTTATATTAGAAATATGACAAGGAGGTCAAAACCATGGTGAGTCATACTAAATACAAAGAAACAAGTTCTAATGTGAATGTCATAGAATGAATTACGTCTATACTAATTCAGTCAATCTAAAATGTTTTGTCACGTCGCCATTTTAACATAGCGTTATGATAAAATTTTCAACGTGTACTGAACTTATTCGGATGAAGTCAAGGTCCCTCCACACTCATCTGTCACAAACGCTGTCACAGTTAACATACTTGCACAGTAGCTGTGATTTTCAATATGACCTACACACATACATACCTACCTACCTACCTACCTACCTACCTACCTACCTACCTACCTACCTACCTACCTACATACCTACCTACCTACATACATACCTACATACATACATACATAAATACATACATACATACATACATACATACATACATACATACATACATACATACATACATACAAAAGTAGTACGTATTGTCAACACATGTCATAATATATTATCATGAGAAGATGAAGTCAATATCTGCCTCGGAAAGGTGAGTTTCTATAGCAAGAAGCCATCCGATTTGTTATTCGCTTAACAACGCCAATTAAAGTGCCGTCATTAACACGGAAGTTTGGTAATTCAACCTAATTAATCTGATAACGAATTGAATTAAAAAATGACATGGTATCACGCTTTATTCACTCGACACATTAATAATTTTTAAAAACCATACACCATAAATAAGGAATACACTAAAGCTATTCGAAGATTTTAAAGTTTGTATGTTTGTTTGATTATGGGGTTTGGGGTTTGTGGGGTTGCTCGCTAGCCAAAAACTCGAAGAGTCATAATCGTAAAACTATATATTTAACATCGAAATAATTTTTAAAAAAAGATCAGTTTATTATGACAACTTTAATTACATATTTTTCCGTACCACTAATTTTTATATGATGATTAGAATTGATTTTATATTGTTACGTGACAAGGACTCATACTCGGTAACAAAGAAAAGAGTGAAAGCCAACAGGCTTTGTATATTTTAATAAAATAAAATTTATTTCCCTAGACATTAATGTAACATTTGGCAAATAGGACTTACAGTCTGTGAATATAATTCAAAATTTGATCCTAAGAATGAAATTAGTCCTATCACTAAATAGTTTCTATAATATTCCAAGTTCAGTCCCAACAACGTACAAATATGGAAGGCGATGGCGTCAGATATGGTTCCAATGTATGTATACCATATAATTCCTTACTTGAATCACAGTCTTTGTTTCCGAATAATTCCAGAAATAATTTCCTTGAATATCTTTCAGATTTTTTTTTATATAAAAAGTCAACATTTTGAGTCCTCAGGGGAATATATCATTAAATCCAAACTCAACGAAGAATAAACAATCTTAGCAACAAATTAAAAAGTACACCTTGTTCCTTCAAGGTTTTGAAAGACTCTCTCTCTCTCTCTCTCTCTCTCTCTCTCTCTCTCTCTCTCTTTGTGAAAAATAATGCTTATTTAGAACTCCAATGTCTCATTTTTAAGTCTCGCGAGATTGGTTATGTGGTCTCTTACTACACTATCTTTTTGTCATGTCCGTCAGGATGAACCCACTTAAAAACCAATCAAAAAAGGTTGTTTACAAACAGTAATCACGCAAAGAAAGAATTCCTGTGATACTGATCAATCTATTTAACTTCCTATTGACAGTATTACCAGGGTAAGACATCTTCCTCTTCAATAAACAAACTTTGTGATAAAAATATCTCACTACTAAAAATAGAATCCTGAATCCTAGAAAAATATTCATTGCAATTAAATACAATGAAACAAAAATGAAATAAACATAATTTTAAACCTTACACTCAAGCAATTTAATCACAATTACGTATTATAATTTTTTCCCTTACAATAATGAACAAATAATTTAATACACGTGGAAATATCAAGCAGTGCTATACATCTGTTGCGAATCAAAATATTTGAGTATGGCATCTAATTTGAAATTTTTTCCGCCTTATTATTAATTTCAACAATTCACTGAGGTCCATTAATTAGGAATAATTACCAAACTTTCGTTATTAATAAAACGATCGTAAATGGAGATGTTATATAGAAACGTATCGAGTCAGATAGGTTCCTTTCATGTGAACGCACCTTTTCTAAGCTGAAACTAACATTATCTTTTGATGCTAATATTTTGTAACGGTATTTACAATAGCCACTGCTTTGATAATGGAAAACAACCGCTGAGGTCTTAATCAGAGAGAGAGAGAGGCGGGGGAAGCCGTGTTTTGAAATATTGCTTCTTTTCTGACATTCTTATATAAGGACAACTGTACATTCATTTACTTATTTTAAATAATTCGAATCAGCTATAACGTAAACATCCCGTATTTAACAAACTAGACACAATTCGCTCTTTATAATACAGGCCGCCATGTATAGCCTATCGTGTGCTGAAAAATAACATTAAGCCCCACAATAACACAACAATGCATCTATTGATCAAGCCACAATTTGACTTTCTGTATTGCACCAAACTGAAGTTACCTGTTCCTAAATGCGCGAATTTCGTCTGCCGAGACTACGTTGCGCTTAGGTGACAAGGAGCTATGGTAAATTAACCGAAGACCCTTCTGTGATTATTTTGTACGAATGTCTTGGATGAGATGAAAGGAGTTGATGTTGGAGAGACTTACAGGATTGATAAACAGCTTGTTACATTTACTCACTACATAATTCGAAGTGAAAGGCAGAAATCTGTTTTGGTGGAGCATATGTCAGGTCTTGTTGTAAGTGCAGGCGTGAATGCTGATTGTATTTGAGATGGAATTGGAATGGACATGTTAAATACCGAGTGTAATCTACGGCAAGTAGGAGTATATCCAAATATTCAAAACTAAATAACAAGAAAACATCACAGATGCCAGATTTGTTACAAAATTCTTTATTTAGAATAGATCATAATTGATTGCAAACGGTAACCATTTTATAAAGCTTTTAAAACATTTATATAAACATTATTTTAGTATTGACATTACATTTTTCTTGATGTAAATTTATTCAGATTAATATTTTCTTAATGTATTCTGTTATCTTGTAATTAAAAAGACATCTGTGCTTTTTGACTTGGTGCACAGTTGTAAAATGATGTGCTGCTGACTGAAAGAATATTATGGCATTGATTGACCTTATCATAACAATCCCAGCCACCTCTGCTGATGCTGAGAGCGATTTCTCAGAGATGAAAATGGTGAAGAGTTTACTGGAGATCATGTTTGCCACCATGGGTTCTGTCTGACCTACCCTTTATACTGCTCTAAAATAAATGATATTCCAACAAATGATCAATATATTTGTGGAATATTTAGTGTGACAGGTACGGAGACCTGAACAAACCCCATATGGACACAGGGTGCAGACGGAGGACGAGAAATGACACCAGGATTCTTTTCTGGAATTGGATCCAGATTATCTTGAGAAACAAGAAATGTGAATTTACTGATTGATGATTTGAAGCAGGATTTGATTTATAATTTTGTAATTATGCGTTTCGTATAAAAAATGCTATTTATGAATAATATTATTGTTAATCTCAATTCAAGTCTGTGATATGTTTTTTGGACAGGACTAGTAAAGATTTGACAGGACTAGTAAATTTCTCAGCATACTAGTCTTTTCGGCTACAAGGAAATTTATGTTAAATTCGAGCCGCTGATGAAATACATACATACATACATACATACATACATACATACATACATACATACATACATACATACATACATACAATACATACATACATACATACATACATACATACATACATACATACATACATACATACATACATACATACATACATACATTACATGTTAACTTACAGTTAGAAACATATAGACACAGACATTAAAAATGGACACGTAAGAAGGCGTACATGCAAAGTGAAGATAACAAACAGCAAAATGCGTTCCCATGTGACCATTACTACTCGCTATTGTATGCTGACCATGCATTTGATAAAATTCAACTCGGTCCAATGCTGTGTCCCAACTTGTGAACACGGAAATCACCTTTTTAAATAAGATCTATCTATTTTATGGACAACGTTAGCACAAAAAAAATATGTATTTTTTTTCTTTTCTTGCACGCATATTACTGAAAATTGTCTGTCTTTTAAAAATTTCTGTATGTGATTTTGATGTGATTATGATTTTAACGTAGCTTAACAATTTTTCAGTCAATATCGCTACGATGTCTGCAGTGTGGCAGTTTTAAGTGATGGCTTACACTGGGGCATCATGCCACAGAACATGTAGCATGATGTCCCACCAAGTCACATTATCCTGACACCAGGCCGTCCAGTCCTAATCCTAACCTCTTAAATGCTGAGCGTCAAGCAAAGAAGCTGTTTTTACCATTTTAGTCTTTGGCGTGACTCGACCGAGGATCGAACCAACGACCTCCCGCATCTAAGGCGGACGCTCTATCCACTAGGCCACCGGAGCCGTTTTTAATAGAATCAAGAGCTTTATAATAACCAGATCGTACTCTCGCAGAGCGTCATGTAAGGCCTTTCCAGCAGCCTTGAAATCTTCGGCTTCAAGGTATTGAATAAATAGCGGAAAATCGAACACCTCGTATTTTCCTTATTGTGATACCTGTGAACGTTGATACATTCGATTAAAATGTTTATCTATTTCACTTACATCGTTACTTGTGAAGTCCTGGAATTTATTCGCTCGACATCTGTGGACCAAATCCTCCGGTGTCAAAATTTCAGCCATTATTTCAATCTCTATGTTTTATATAGCTTTGACGTGTACATGATTTATGAAGAATTACATTTCATTTCTCCATTTTTGAAACATCAAAGCTCTTCTCTGTTTCAACTGAAAGAAATATATTTTAGTATTTTTACGTATCTCTTGGCAACTTACAGCTACTATTTTGTTGATTTGCCCGTGAGACGACACTAGTTCATATTCTACCTGAACCATTGTGTTTGGCTTCGTAAACAACATGTTTATGTCAATCTCAGATTAGTACATTGTAAATTTCCCATGAAATGTCGATTCCACCTCTTGTTTGTTACATTCTTTATTATAATTTTAGAAATATACCGTAAGTGTTAACTAAGATTGTATCTTTAAACACATGAAACCTTTCAGAATGGAATACTACATTTGGTAATAGTGGTGTTTTGTTTAGAGAAAAGGATAATGTGAGCTGAGTTCAAGAAGAGGATTTTACCATCTTGTGTTTCAAGAAATTATTCATTCATTCTGAGAAGATCTGAGAAGATTCATTTGTATTATTGTTGTGTCCAGTGTTTCATATGTGCTGGAATTCATTTATTTAAATTATTTAATTGAAGATGTTCTCTGGAAATATAAATTGTTCAAAATAACATTCTTGGAAATATACATTTGGGTTCATAGTGAAATTCAAATAATGATATATTATTGGATTGTATCATTGTGATTCAACGAAAGACATTTGGTACATCACTACGGCACAGGCCACTACAAGAATATCTAAGATTTCAGCGTTATATTTCATTTAGGATAACACTAATGTTTGTTCAGAACTTGAATCATACATATGGACTTGTGTTTAAAATTCAAGGCATTTGTGGACATAATTTCGCAATAATGTAATATCGCAATACCGTAAGTTCTTTAGCAAATTTCTCGCATTGTATTATGTGGAAATTAATTAATTAATTATTTGCTGAATTTTACAAAACAAGTTGGTTCTCATTCCATGGTAATACTTATTTTAAGATCATAGAGTTGTTATATATATATATATATATATATATATATATATATATATATATATATATATATATATATATATATATATATATATATATATATATATATATATATATATATTCATGCATAGCTATATACGAGACGATATAAGTTTGAGATAAGAGAAACTAATCGTCGTTTTACACTATTGTCATGCGCAGCATATTGAAAAATGTAATTACAAGTGTGACATATCATGATGATCAGAAAATTCAAGTAGCCTCATTTTGTCGATTTCCTTTAAATATCACAGTAACCAAATAATGCTCTTTTATAAACCACAATGTCTACTTGTGACATCCTCACCCGTATGCACTACCACCACACAAAAACATCTACATAGAGATACACTACTTAAAAAATTAACTAAAACTACAAATATATGGTTGAATATCTCGTGAAGACTGTACATACATGGATTCTCCAGAAGTTTATATAACCCTGACTATTAAAAGCAAATGTAAAACCTTTTCAACAATGCTATAATGGGGAATAACGGTATGACTACGGAGAGACTACATAGAAAAGCTAAAAGGTGCCTTGGAGCGTATGCCGCAAATTCAAAGGATCATGAATTAATTTCGAATGATGCAGTATTAAAAAAATAAAATATTTTGAGTAAGACTATGAGCATACGTACCTTTTCAAAAGCGTTAAATTAGTTAATGTTTACCTAACTTATAATCTTTACGAGTCAGGCATAAATATTTCACAACACATAACATTCCAGATTGTCCTCCAGGAAGGAAAAATCCATTTACTCAAGTATATGCGGTCACGATAACTGTTAATTCAAAATCGTACGTTTACAAATTTTACAAGTGTTTTTATCGCGGTAACAACAACGTGAACTTCATAAAATAAGAGAATCGACATGCATACGAAGTTCCAGCTAATGATTCATTTGAGTGGTTCTGAATAGATAAACGTTACTTGGCTATATATTACCTTCAATGGAATGTACTAATGTTGTACTTGATGTGTAGCGTTAAATAGAAATTTGCATTAAAAGTTGTGTCTCATTCACAGAGCTTATTAGATAGATCATATAATATCACAGGTGAGCTTGTGATATGGATTTTTAACGTAGCCTTAACAATCTTTCAGTAATATCGCTACGATGTCTGTAGAGTGGCAGTTTAAAGAAATGTCTAGTACTGGGGAATCATACCGCTGACATGTAGCATGATGTCCCACCCAATCACATTATCTTAAAACCAAGCTGACCAGTATTAAAATTAACCTCTTAAAACTGAGCTGTTAATACAAATTGTATAAGTCTTTGGTATGATTCGGCCGGGGTTCGAACTCGAGAACACCCGCAGTCGAGGCGGACGCTCTAACCGGTAGGCCACCGGAGCGGTGAGCTAGTTATGAAAATGAATTGTTAATTTAACTACAGGTGATGGTATGAGAAAGATTCAGAAAGCGCAGATAAAATAAAAATATTTCTTCATTACTTATACAAAGCAGATTAAGATTATGAGATTAATGTAATTAATTGGGTGTCTTTTCATCTCGTCTGCTACGAATGTTGCTAGAGCCACATATAAAATATCCGGTCTTCAGATAGCTTGAAGAAAATAATTTTTGCGATGAATACAGAAAAAGAGGTATTTAAGCTCGTTACATTAGCTGAAAAACTGAATTATCTTGAGGTAAAAAGAATGTACCTGGTTCAAGATAAAGTGTCATAGTTTACCCCTTACCTTCCACCAACGCCACCATCACCAGAAAATTAGATGTTCGATCTCCTGATATCAGCTCCAAGGCCAGTCGAGCGTATGAGCCAGTGTGCTGTCGAGTACTCAATGCCTGTTCCAACCTATTCACGTAGGTTGTTATCGGAACTAATGAATCTTCATCTATAATGTTTATGAAAATATATCACTTTACTTATAATGGTTACCAAATTAAAGTTGCAATTTTGCGCATTCATCGCGATTTTTATTTATCAGATCGTATAGTTTGGTTGATGTGGCTCTAGAGATATCAAGCACTGGGGCATTATGCCGCAGACATGTAGCATGATGTCCCACCCAGATTTTAGCTATAGAAGCAGAAACTGCTTCTTTATTCAGCATACATTTTAGCGGTATTGTAAATAATGCTTTTTTAGAGGTGCCTGGAGGTGTTATATCTAAATATCGTGTACAGGGCGTACAAAATGGAAACTTCCACATTATTTACTTAGAAAACTACGATCGGAATCTGCATTTACTACATATTGTGCGGAAAAGTTTTTTTTTTTGTAAAAACCAAAATAGGCAATTTGATGTTACATATTATGTGTAATAGATAATATTATGGGCATATAACTGGGCGATTGCATGGTAATTATCGTGTTGTGCAAAGGTTTAAAAAAGATGCAGCAATCATTACAGGTTTGAAACACATGGGGCCATAGGTATACCGCATGTGGCAAGCATTCTAATGCAGTATGCTGGAGCCTGTCATAGTGGTCTTCTACCAGTCCCTTAATTGAGAGTCATATTATGTGAATATCTGTAACGGACTGGCTATCACAGTGTCCATATAGAAAGTGCAGTTGTGGCATCAGGGTAGCAATTGTTTGTTTCTATTCCATATACCACAATGCAAACGTTTGATATATACATATAACATCTATCTTGCATTAACATTCGTGTCTAACTCCGTCATACGTGGTAATAACTGATTGAGAATTGGAATAGGATAGAACCATGTAGGGAGATTACTCTGATAGAACTAGACCTAGATACGAGTAATCATCTCACTAGAGTTACAATTTTACTAATGTGTATTATATTTATAATATAAAAATCATGAAGTTAAAAACTTGATTCTAGTACATATTAATTTAATTTTGCATGCACCCAAGTAACTTAACCATTTTTAAAGCCCTTTATGTACAACTTTTGCGTACTGTTATAATACACAAATCACAGCCAGCTTTATAGTTTATTTCAAGAGAGTTTCCTACAATTCACAACTAGCTTATAGTTTTTTTTTTATTTTTTTTTTTGGAATGAAATTATTTCATACAATGATAGCTAAACCTTTAGTTCCCCATTCCACACCAAAAAGCTGTATAAATATCCATCCGCCCAAATTGATATTTGGTATTATCAGGCGTTCCATCATAGTATCAATATACAGTTGACGAAAAGTGCGTTTAATTAACTACATATAGTAAATAAGATTATATTTCTTCGTAAACAATGAGACCGTTGTAGTTTTAGGACATGTTTCCGCTATTGTTGCTGAAAGGTACTTCCCGAATCGCAGAACGTGTGATCCAAGAGGAAGAAAGTTGTTAATTGAATGAAAGTTAACACAAAATGAGGTAAAAAGACGTAAAATTGCATTCATATTAGAAGGTATCATTTATATATATATATATTTTACCGATTACAATTGTCACTAATTGTGAATTGCAAATTAAGTGTCTCCTGACATCTGATTATAGATTGGAAATTAGTCCACGGATGAAGTTGAAACATTTTATTATTATGAATAATAATTCTTGAAATTTCTTCTTCGCAAGTAAAATATTGCCTTATATCATATCCAAAAATCTTTGATAATAATTGTTTTATATTTTAATGCTAAAACAGTCTTCTTTAATTGTTTGCCTTTACTTGTATGGCAATGCTTTCAACGTCTCTATTAATACAGTGTTCAGAAATATTCAGATAATTTAGAACAGTTATTTTTAAAAAATTTATTTGTATTTTTTCAAAGTTGTTTCAAAATACTTCCTTGATGTAATGCTAAAAATCGTTCATTTTGTTAAATTAATGACGGTTTTCATATGAAAGATAAAATGAGTATACCATCTTTAACTTTTCTTGTGCGGATTGATATTGTGAAATTTTATCTAGAAGGGGCAGAATCATCACGAATAGAGATTTCACTGCACAACATCTGTAAAAAAGATCGTACTGAATTTTAGTTTATCTATTGATATCCTATCTTGCTTACTTGGCTTTTGACTAGCTTGCTGTCAAGTTCTGTATCAGATGATACACGCAAATAAAAGTCGATATTTACTTAAGTTTCGTTTGCAATTAAAACGTCCTCATCCCGATTTCTTCATCATATTCAAGTATAATAATTAGAGTGATTTTAAATTAAAGTCAAGTGATCACATATGTAGACAATTAACAAATAATTGAAGTATGTATTCAAGAGGATTGTAAATGCACTGCCCTTTGCTACAAGAGATGGTTATTATTAGTGTTGTCGTAACTGTTGTTGTTACATATTTCTGTTCTTAATTTGCGGAAGGCCAAGTATATGACGAGAAAAGCATATATAGATATATAAATTATTAAAATAAAATGCTTAAAATCTTTCCGTTTTGTACAACATTCAGATATTAAAATAGTTTGGTCTTCCAGTCTGGCCATTCGTGAGGGAACGCTATCTGGCCGAAGAGATGAAGATATGTTTAGTAAAGAGAAGCGAAAATTCTCAGAGCAAACATCAGATCTGTATGTACTAAACAAAGCACATACTATAATGTAAAATTGATGGCATAAAATTCTCAGAGAAAACATCAGATCTGTATGTAATAAACAAAGCACATATTATAATGTAAAATTGATGACATAAAGAGATTCGATACCAGTCTGATTAACCCTTTTATAAGTATCTTGCCGTCTTAATAACTCGTTTTCTCTCACATATATACTTACGTACATGTTCGACAGTTCCAAGTAGTCTTATAAATACTGCGATTAAGTTGGAACTGATTAGTGCAGAAAATAAATACCTTTATTACTTTCAGACTCAACTTTAATCCTTTAAACCATAATCAAGTGGAGACAGTGGGTATATTTTTCAACACAGCTAATGGATGTAAAGTTTAACTACACTCCAAGGAGAGGAGATATAGAGATCACGAGTATCTAGTACATCAAGATTATCAGAATGCATTTATTTTATACATAGAACTATACCTGCCTTCATCAAGGTCTCTTGAACGCATTTATTTCCAAGTGCAACAAGGTTTGTCTTACATCAAGATCTGTTGACTGCATATTTTTTTTGCGTTAATCTATGTGTGACTTGCAATCAGCAGAGGATTTATATGGCAAGAAATGATCTCATGACAAATACATTTCTAATTGCACTGCAGCTCATTATTATGACATCAAAATACAAACGGTGTCAAGTCATAAATATATATATATATATATATATATATATATATATATATATATATATATATATATATATATATATATATATATATATATATATATATATATATATATATATATAACAAATATTTTGTACTTTCAAAATATATTAGCTCCCATATATTCACCTACGAACGTACGATCGATTATAATAATAATTATATTGTCTTGCTAATATAGATTATGTGCATGTTCTTAATTACCTATACATGAATTTCTGTTCAAAATTAAAGAGTCTGAAGATGACATAAAATTATTCTTTGAAACAAACACGTTAAATATCATAAAGGTTGAATAGAGATTTTAGAATCTAAGATTCATATTTTACTGACAGCAGAAAACAAGCATCGTATCAACAACAACATCAACAAAATGCACTTATTACTGCTAATTATGCAGTTTTCAATTTGGATAGAATTCATTGTCATTTTTCTTGAGCAACGCCCTTCGCGAGAAGTGGACTTCCATCATAGAGGAGACGAACTGGCCAAACACAGTACTCCATATACTTTCCAGACCTTGTGTAAAAACGAAACAGGTTCGTATCAAACTCATCCAGAGTAATTTTGTCTTCAATCCATTTCATACACAATGGAGGATCCTGGAGGCACATCATCCACACTATCTCTACACTTAAAGTGGCATAAGTTGAAAGTTTCTTTCCCATTGTAAGTAAAGATGGTCCCAGTATTTTAGAAAGATTATCACCAACGAAATTCTGACGAAGTAGAAAGTAAATTAATAACTTCTTCTAACCCACCAGTGGTGTCATGATGATGATGAAGATGACATACATACATACATACATACATACATACATACATACATACATACATACATACATACATACATACATACATACATACATACATACATACATACATACATACATACATACATACATACATACATACATACATACATACATACATACATACATACATACATATATATATATATATATATATATATATATATATATATATATATATATATATATATATATATATATATATATATATATATATATATATATATATATATATATATATAAAATCTCAAAAATATTCCATAGTGGTCTAAGATGCAATAATCACATATGCCAAAATGAATTAAATTTTTCTGCTTGTTATGAAGAAAGTGAAAAAAAATATGAAAATTTTAAATAAATGTAT